CCAGATTGCGCGAATTGCGTTATCCTTACTGTCTCGAAACACAAGCGACCGACGTCGATTGACTCCGCATGCAGCTGCGTTCGCGTCTACAGGATTGGAGCGGTGTTTTAGCGCGTTTTCGCGCGTTGCAGCGCTTCGGCGAACGTCATCGCGAAGTCTGAACGCTGCTTAAGGTGTTAACCCGCATTTATACCTCTCGACTTTAATAAGCAGCCTCGCAGTATGGCTGTCGCACGAGTGCGATTGACCAGCTCCATCGCTCGGCGTTCAACCAATGCAGCTTCTGCTTCAGTCACATTGGCAAAGCAACGCTATTTGACTGTTGCAGCGGTAAAGCGATCAACGGTACACGGCGTTCGGTTCCGAATGGCGCTAGCCTACTCGAGTCGCGAAGTATGAGCGCAAAACCAGTGTTTTGAAATCTTTTGAAATATATTAATTGGTTTCCAGACGTCGCCGTCGATCCACATCATACTCGGGCTCGTCTGAAAGTAGTAGTTCGAGTGAGTCTTCGGAATCCAGAAGTAGGTCACGATCTCGCGAACGCACACCACCGAAGAAACGGAGGGAAAGGGAGCGATCACTGAGCAGGTTTGTTTGGTGGTTCTATCCTTACCATGGCCACTAAGGCCATGTTCAAGCACAGCGCAGTAGAATAGTTGGTGATTCCTTGAAAAGGAATGTATGGGTATGTTCGGGAAGTCGGGTATTAAGAGGTTCGAGAGCTGAAGAATCGGGAAAAAATGGACAAAAACCGGTTATTCGGTTCCGCCCACTGGCTGCTTTGAGTGAATCAAAGAGAATTCGAACTGGCGAAAAGCGTTATATATAGACCGATCCCGTGGATTCCACGTATCCAGTCCACTTTAGCGAATTCTCTAGTTCCCATTCTTGCTCTGCTTCTACTGCTGGCTACGAACAGGACTACTTGCAGGAGTTCCGAAGACAGTGAGGATGCTCGCGAAAGGCGAAATCTGAAGAAGCAAATCAAGGAAAAAGAACAAGCCTATGTTTCGCGACTTACGAAATGGGAGGCCCGTGAACGTCAGAAAGCTAAACAGTACGAGAGGGAAGAACGAAGGGAGAAAGACAGGTATGTTCGGAGCTTTTTTTGACGAGAGTTTGAGTCTATTCCTACCGCTCCAGAAGGCGAGACATCCTCAAAGAAGCAAAGAAACTAAAGCACTTCCTAGAAGACTACGATGACGAGAAGGATGATCCCAAGTACTACAAGTAAGTAGTCGTTCGCCTTAACTCTTTCCCATAATTGCTTCTGGGAACGCTCACGGGAGTTTTTCAGAAGTTCCTCTCTTTTCCAACGTAAACGTGACTTTGAACGTGAGCGAGAAGCAGATTCGAAGGATCGGTTGCGAGAGCAACAGGAAATTGAAGAGCTCCGCAAACAGATTCTGGCTGAAAACAAAGACGTTAAGGACGTGGATGAGGAAGCTCGCAGACGTCACTTTGAGAAGGTAAGCGGATATTCAGTGTCTCAGATGATTCCATATCATTTGCCCAAGTTCAAGGAGGAAGCTGCTCTTCGCCGTCTTCGAGAAGACAGCGGTAGCCCTAATCCTCATCAGCCTCTTGGTCAACGAGACGGAGATGGTGACAGCTCTAGCAGCAGCGCAGAAGAAAGTGAAGACGAGGAGGATGGGAAATCCGTAGACGGAAAGTCAATTCCTGATGATGAAGAAGAAGATACGAAAACACCAAAAAGTGATGCCCCTCCCCCGACTACAACGCATGAGGACCGCTGGAGAAGTGGTATGAGTACTTGAGAGCTACTAGGTTTGGACAAAAACATACTTTCAAAACAATATGTATTTCAGTGGAAGTCACATCGCAGTCAACTCCTCTGAGTGTTTCCTCTCCTGTTACGTTACGTGGTGCATCCTCCAGTACGTCTCTGCCAGCAGTACAACGTCCTGAGTTAAACTCTCGGCTTAATGGAGTTTTTGGTATGTTTCTTTCCTTAGTTTTTTTAGGGTGGCTATAGGGGGCTATGAAAAAGGACACTTCAGAACTTTCGAAGACGGGGTTAATGAATGAAAGAGACGGTCACTACGGACGCAGACCCCGGCAGCTGTACCCTTAGAACCCATAAAAGTGGGATCTTATGGCGCTGGACGGTAAAGTTGGTTGTCAGGGTTGAAAATAAAACCCGCGATTGCATACTATGGATAGCGGCGTTCATTTGCAAACTTATTGCCATTTAACTCAGCGAAGGAAAGAGCAAAAAAAGGGAGAACTTTTTATGTAACTCTCCTGGCAGCCCCACTGTTTTCCAGCTTGCTCGCTTTGTACTAGCAAAGCGATACCCTGCTGCCTCTGGTTCACTCTTTGTTTTTTTTTACGCGTAAGTCTAATGCTAATGCCATCCCTATCGCATAAAAAAAACGAATAACACGTTGATGAAACAAACATCGGTGCAGAGGAACTACCGGGGCAAGGTAAGAAGGGTCCAGAAGTGTTCTAGGGCGCACAGCGCCTTCACTCACTCACGGTGCAGCCGCGAAAGTAGTGCTGTCTTGGAAACCACGGCCTATACTTCTTGTACAAGGAAGGACGCCTACGAATTGGTTGAGCGCGGCAGTGTTTTGGAGTCATAAAAAATGAATCATGGACTGTAGCGGCGCTAGCTGGCCGATTTTCCACCATTGTAAGAACCCTTTCTAAGAAGCTGAGCCCAGTGAGCCAACAGGGGAATTCACACAGCTGCTTGAGGCCGACGTGATTACTTTGGGCACTCTCGAGTCAGACGACGGTGACGAATGGCTTCAGCCTGTCCTGACGGTAAGGGCTGGAGTGGTGTGCTTGCTTGTGCTTATCGAGAACCATCTTAGGAACCATGGGTCTTCCAGGTAGCTTGATCCCCTGTGTGAAGTAAACTTTGATAATCCAGTCCACGGAAGGAAGGGTCTTCTTCATTCCCCTTTAGTACAGAAATGAACATTCTTCTATAAATCTAAAAGCCTCCCGTTTCTATTTGGACGTGGTTTTCTTCTCAAACTTTTCCTTCATGAGTTATATTTTCAGGAGTCGATGACGAAGACGAAGAGGGTGGCCGTAACAGGTTACGACCGTTTGAAATTACCCAAGAAGATCGGATGGAGACCTTGACAACAGATGAAAAGAAGCGGATGGTGAAAGATCTTATCAACAATATACCGACTACCAAAGGTAATAAGCTCAACTCCTGGTAAACCAGAAATTCCATCAAATTTCCATACGGTTTGAAATATACGTATTTTCAGAGGAATTATTCGCTCACACAATAGATTGGCGTTATGTTGACCGACCATTGATTGAACAACGTGTTCGGCCGTGGGTAGCGAAGAAAATTATGGAGTTTTTGGGTGAGTTAATGAATTTTTGCGCTGTAAAGTTTGTCCTCGAAATTGGAGGTAGTATCGGCCAAATATAAATTGCAGGTGAGGAAGAAGGAGCGCTAGTAGATTTCGTCTGTGAAAAAGTAGCTAACAAAACTTCTCCGGATCGTATTCTAGGCGATATTGCTATGGTAAGTCTAGTTTTGCATTTTTTCTCATTCCATTCAGCTTCGACATCTGGGGCCGTATGCTATGCTTTCC